ATAAAATAAAATTTAAAATTGGGATTCAGTTATCTTTTTATTTCTTAATTAGATTGGTATCACTAAGTAAGATATTCTTAGGTTTGCTATTTATATACATATGTTTAAAAACTACAAAGTATACATAATTTATATGATGAGACTAGGAACTCAGACAGCTAATAAGAAAGCAAGTACCCTACTAGGCCAAAATTTAACCACATTGTTACCAATCCAGTTATATTAGAGGAAAAATATATGACATGGTCTCATAACTTTTACTTTCTTTCAATTAAGATGTACAATTGAGACATGAGCAGAGTCTAGAAAACAGGTGAGACTCAGAGTCCCTATACTCATTTAGTTATCTGTGGGTAGCCCCATACAAATTTCATTTCAGACAAGAGCCATAGAATGTAGACCAGTAATGGAAAGTCAGGAAGTCTCTAGCCCAAAGGAAACCTCAAAGGAGACACTTTGCATACATAAGTAAGTAAATAGGAAGAGCCCTCTTGAAGCATTTCCAGCGACACCTCCAGAAAGAAGCCTTCATTTCACACAGAAGTAGCTGAACAATAAAAAAGTGTCATGTTCCATCATAAAAGTGTCATGTTTACATCACAATTTAAGTCAGGAATTGATGATAGCTAGACTTAGTCAATGTTCAGAGAGAAGAAAGAATGTGAGAAGGCCTCTAAAAATTTCTGGAATTAGAGAAATACAGGAAGTTAGTAATGACGTAAGTATATATTCTCAGAGAAGGATATGTGATTATACCAAATGATGGCCTTCCCAGGCAGTTCCAAATGAATTTCTCTATCTCCTTTAAATAAAATGTGGTATTGCATTAATCACTTGGAAAAATAAGAATTTGTTTATTATTAACAAATTAACTGTGTCATCTATCTCTAATTTGTCTGGGATCTCTTTTTTTACTAAGCACAGCCATTTTAGCTATATTATTAACATCCTGTAAAGAAAATCTACCAGACTACTGTGCCCAGTTTGTCATAGCTAAGATTATTTACATTATTTTCAAAAGTAAGAAGGCAGACTTAGATATGTGTGTGTCATTTGGTCTATAAGTAGTAAATCTTGGCTGCATATTTTAAGCTTTAACTCTGCATACTTCAAATGCCAGCTATTGTGTACAACTTCTGGGATAGTAATTTTACTGTGTAACTTTAAATATGCTATCTTCCTTAATCTTTGTAACAAATTATTTGAGATGAAAATAAAAGCCTCCAAGTACCTAATTAATTTGACCCTATGCACACATCTAAAAGTGACCAAGCTAGGATTCAAACCTAATTCTTTTTGACATAATGTCCTTCCTATTTTAAAAACTACTTCTCATCCTACCTCTAACACTGCAAAAGATTTTGAATTGTCATCCCCTAGTCTAAGTAGCTTTAACAAGGGGTATAGAGGTTGGTAAAGCTTGTGATCCTATGGTGCTCCTATTTTATCACCTGAAGCATGCCCAACCCTAGCCACTTGTCATTGTTTTCCAAGTGTAGCCTATCATATAATATTAATTGCCTACTAAAGAACTTTAATTTTCTGTATTATTTTATGAGGGGCTGGAGAGATGGCTCAGTGGTCTAAAGCACCTACTTGGAACAAGCTTGGCAAGGCATCAGGGACCGCGGTTCAATCCCCCAGCACCACATGCCAGCCAGCCCCGCCCCCTGGTGGGCTGAGCTGGCCACACACACACACCTCTCTCTCTCTCTCTCTCTCTCTCTCTCTCTCTCTCTCTCTCTCTTTCAAATTAATAAAAAAAATTAAAAATGTGTATTATTTTATGAGGCATACCTCATTAGATATAGGTATTTAATTTACCTCTGAAAATAATCTCAAAACAACATGAGTGTTCCTAGATTAAAAATAATAACATAAGCATTATTTGTTACTATGTAACTATAAAATAGTAAAACTGATTTTTGGTGGGTATTAGGTATAGTAGTTTCATTATGAATCTATATAGTTCATGTCCAGCTTTACTGCTTGTAACTTACATAACAATTACATGCAGATGGTAATAGTACTTACTTCTTATGATGTGTTAATTTACTCAGATAATACATGTAAAATATTTATTTTATTTATTCTATAAATATTAACTATTATTATACATGAGCATTTAGGAATAAAAATCAAATAGTTACTGATAAGCACTCTCTAAATAGGAGCTTGATAAATATGTATTAACTTTGTTAATTAAGTTTATAATTTTTTAAATGCCTAGTGTTCCTGATAATAGTAAGTATAGTATTTTGGCTACTTTTTATATAATATATAAAACAATTTTCAGCATCATTAATAACTGTATACATTTTCCAAAAGCATTTACTGGCTCTGAAATAGCATTTTTTTAAATAAAATTAGGGTATTATTTAATTTCTGACTTATCATTTGGGATCAGTGATGTATAGTATATACTCTCTACCAGAGGTATATGTGTGACCACTAAATATTATAAATGTAGCTTTCCCTTTTAATAATTATACAGGTGTGACAAAAATACAAGTGTGCACGTAATAGAAAGAAATAAACAGGCTGGGAAACAAAAAAGGCAGCAGTTGTCATGCATGCTTCCTATTTGCTTGAGACAACAGAAATATACTAAAAGAAAGACAGTATATGTCTCAATTTGTGGCAGTGCTGGAAATGCTGCATACTTTTCTGATGATGTCAAAACATAGTTTTGAGAAGCCTTTTTTCTCACTAACTTTGTTTTTAAATCCTGAGATATTTACTCTCTGCAGCATTTCTCTGAAATTATCATGAATTCAATCTCCTGGTTCTTAGAACTAGTAATCTGATTCTTTCCTAGTAATTTTAGGAAAAGTTCAAAGGTTTGCCCCTCCCTAGAATGTTCTACCTACCGCTGTTATTTCTCCTTCTACCTTTAGAAATAATTCAGGCCTTGAGAGTAGGAGTCCCATTTCATACATTTGTGTTTATATTGCTGCTCTTGCCATGTTGTTTTATGGTTTTCTGTTTAGAGGTGAATTTTATCTTTTAGAGTCTAGTAACCAAATTGTGTCTAAGGAAAGAGGCTATGACTTATCTCCCAATACCTAGTATGATTGAGTTCCTAAAATAGAGTTGCTGCTTGGTAAACATGTATCCAGTAAATTAGTAAACTTGCCAACACACACACACACACACACACACACACACACACACTCACACACACACACAACATCAGGGACATAAATAAAATTTCCTGTGTCTTTGTATATTCTCTAAGTGTTTGTGAACCCTTGAAATTGCTTATGAACATATTAACATGCTTCTAAGTGCTCTGATCTCTTTGAAAACATTTTCTAATCTTTGAAAAAATTTTTATCTGTATGTTTTCTTTCCTTTTACTCTGAGCATCACCTTTACATAGTAAACATTAGTTGCTACCAAGTACTGATTATGTGCTTGAACTACAGGGAGTGTTATGTATCCTGGTTTTTATTTGCACACTACCTGAATGGTGATTTTGTGCAAGTACTTTTTATGTCAAAAATCACAAGGATTATGTCTGTTAAATGGAAAAATCTTACTTTCAAATAAAATTGTCAGTCTTAAATAGAGTGTGTATCATCTTGATAGGTATAGTTTTTTTTTTTGTTTTGTTTTTACAAAAAGTATAAATAAATCAGCTATCATCACTGTTTTAAGAATTAAGTTAGAGATTTTTGAAAAAAAGCTAAATGAAATGTCCAGTATCACATAGGAGGATTAGAGAAATCTGACGGTCACAACTCGTATTTCTGTGTTCCCAGACTGTTACAAAAAGCTCGCTGAGAAGGACCGGTGTATGCCTGATTTCTCAACTTCACCCTCAGTAAACTTTTGCAATCGGAGGCTAGAGACCTCTTTTGTGAATGCTGTCTGCCCAGTGAGAATGTTGGCAAGGGGAGGCCCTAGCAGATAAGTAGAGGAACATATGGCTTCTATTTGAATACAAATCGTTGGACATAACTTGGTAATTCAGCTGCAGCGTCCTCTATATTGTAAACGGAAAGAGTATGATTAGAGGTGTTTATAAACGGCGTCTGAATTCCCCCACACCCGCCCCACCCCCTTTCCACTGTATTTTTATCAGCCTGAATCATAGCCGTCCAGAGTCCCAGACTCACAGTGTTATTTGTGAAAATGGCCAGCATGAGGAATTATTAATTAAAGCTATCACCCTGACGAGCTGGACCCTGGCATGGCTGAAGGGTGATTGGCGAAAGTGTTCTCCTTTGGAGAAAAGACTTTTTGTGCTCGTGACGCAGTCAGGGACGGATTATTGAATATGCAAGTTAGAAGAAAAATCACAGGACAAGCAAATTGAGTATTTACTGGCAAATAATTGCTCTCTTAAGCTGTGGCTCTCTTCCTAAAATTCTTAACATTCCCGGGGGTTAGAAAGAAACTCAGAAAAATGCATCGGTACAGAGTACATTTCAAAAAAAATACATAGACTGATGTTTCAGATTTGTGCAGGTAAGTGTGATTGTGTGTGCATGGAAAGTGAAAGAAGAGAAAGCAAAGGAAAGATGGGGAAAGCATAACTGTTCGCCTGGAGAGGTTTTTTTTTTTGTTTTGTTTTTAAATCAGCTTGTTTATTGGAATACTGCTAAGCATGTTTCTAAGTTAAGAATTTAGTTCAATGCTGTATTTATTGTGAAAGTTAGACTTAAGGAGAGAGAATTTTCACGAAGTTGTTTGTCTTGATCAGCAGATGAATGTGTTAATGTTTTGTCCCAATAGTAGCTTTCAATTTTACTTAGATATTTGTAGATACTTGTATAAAAGATCACTTGATAGAAAGACCTGTATTTTCGACATTGTTAATTATGATGTCTGTTAACAGTGAGTTAAACACTTGTGGGTACAAGTATTGCATTTACTTTTAAAAGTAAACACTGTTTTACATTAATTCCAAGTCAGTCCTGGAGGAGAATTTCTAAAGGAACAGTAAAGTTTTAGAACAGTTATTTAAACTCTTCACTTGTATAATAATGGAAGTGTCAGTTAAATGGTCTTTTTATCTGGAATGTTGATCAGACTACTGAGTTTTGTGGACATTGTAAAATAAGGAAAACTAGTTTAGAGGCTTTTTCAAAAACAACTTTAAACATGTAGAAGTACACAAATATAGAAGTGAAAGTCATGTATAAAATGTAGACATTAGAAAACAGATGCTTCTTTAAGTATAGTTAGATTGTGGCAGTGGCATTACCAAAGTGCATATATCCACTGACAAAGAGTTTCATAGTCCATTAAGAAAGAAAAAAAAATGAACTTTTGTCAACAGCAAATTGTTTTGAAATGAGAATAATTGGCTGGTGAAATAGCATTTTAGGGTTGTATTAATTGTGGATAGTATGTTTTAAAGCAAAGGCATAAACATAGTTTAGGTGGTATTATCTAATTAATAATTTAATTATAAGCTGCTGTATAAAATATCTACATGATAGTAATAATAGAGATAATAACAAAATGGAAAAATCTGCAAGTCAAACAGAAATTAAATGAGAGAATTCTCATAAGGTCTTAGAGAATCAGAATTTAAAAAGGTAAATAAATAAAACAGATTTTGCCTTCTGATCTGTTCCTTAAACTACAGAGTATGTACTGCTCAGGATGTTTCCTTAGCGCATCCAGTTGACTTAAAAGAATATAGTTTGCTCAGTATGCAGTTTAAATCTTAAAAGAAAATTTAGGTACCATATTTTGTAAAGATTTTATTCCCTATAGACTACACTCTGTCCTTAGATTTCAAGAAGCAGGCTCCTTAAACTTTTTATAACTATTTGAGGGCAAAATTTGGTCCATTATTTTGAAATAGCAAAGGGGGCATTTAAAGCATATGTTCAGAGACTAAACCATCTGCCTGCTTTATTATGAATACCACAGATTTACGAGAACTTGGAAAGGCTCAAAAATTGAGCCAGAGTTCTATGAAAGATTTTAAGAATATGATATTCTGTATATTAAAAATGTTTTGCAACCACATACTTCTGCTAATTACTTTATTAGTCTTCTATGAGATATAGTATCATTATGCTTCTTGATATGTGGGGCATCAGTAGGAAAGTGTAGTGGGAGAGATAAACTTTTGGCAAGTTAATGTGAATCCCTTCTCTCTGATTTAGCCTACTAAATCTAAATGCCTTTTGGAGTTGTCAACTTGTCCTTAGGAAAACTCACAGTGACTTAGAAAGAGAAGCATTATAAAATGGTGACTATTGGAACAAAAATGAAGTCCAGCTGCTAGCTTCTGGACTATCTACAAATGAGTTGCAAAAGACATGCAGAGGCCAGACTAAAGAGCACTTCTGTAATCCAACTGTGATGTAATGGAGGTATGAATCAGCTATTGGTTGCCCATGCTAGGGAGGAAGAAAGAGAAAACAAAAAACAAGTGCAAATTGGCACCATTCCCAGCTGACACTACTATATTCCTTCTCTATCTAGAAGGGTATAAAATTCAGAACTTAATAAAAGAACAAAATCATATTTAGATTCTAAACATAGTAATTAATAAAAGAACAAAATCATATTTAGGCTGAAAACATAATACTATTTTTGCCTAGAGTGATCATATAAGGTGAAATCTAAATAAGTATCATTTGTAAGATGTCTGGTACCAAATACAATTATTCTACTACAATCTGACTGAGACAGACTGATTCATTATTAGAAGAAAGTGCAGAAAATAGACAAAGCTCAACTAGAATATAAAATTTCAATTTTTAAATGATTTATCAATCTTTGTTGGCTAAAAAAATTATTTAATGTTGTTAGGAGTCAAGGACCATATGTATGGCTTGACCATTTGAAGTGAAGAATGTCTGTGTATTTCAGGTATACATATATTATTTTTTAAAAAATGTTTTCAGAATTGTATACTTTGTTAAATGTTGAAAACAAACACTTTTCTTTATTTTAGTCTAAAAAAATGAAGATTTTTAAAAGCTACAGTTGGTTTTAAGAACTAAAGGATGTCAGAATTAATGATTTGTTCTGAAAATGCCTATCTTGAATTACTAGTGGATTTCCTTGTGGTTGTAGTTTATTGTTATATCTCTCTAAATTCCAATATAATATCAGATGAATCTATAATCTGTTAGATCAAAGTCCATAAGATATATTTTATCAGATATTTTTAGGAAGTAAGTTTTAGTTTTTAATTTTCAATATGTATGATATTGAAAATATGCATGTGTCCACACACACACATTTGTTTTGCTATGTCTGAAACCTTGCTCTAATAAGAGATTTAAAGTGAATGATAAAAGTAAATACCAAGTTAAACAAAATTCATGAATTAAAAGTAGACAATAAAGATAATCTTAAAATAACAAAAATAGGAATATAAAAATTGAATCAGGTATAAAAATCAACATTTGAACTGCATTCAGTAAAGTGGTATATAATTGTCTTTAAATATTCTTGTAGCCAAGTGAAAGAGAAAAGCATAACAAGTTATATAGTTCATAATATCCTTAAGAATAATAAAATATTTTTTATTATCCATCACTAAAGTTCAAACAATGACAGACTGAGTTTTAGAGAAATCGTTGCTAAAATGCTAAGAAAAATCTCATTGACAATAATTGTCAGTTGCAGAGACCTGAGGGTCAAGTCAGATACTGAAACAGCACCTTCCTTGAGACATGGATGTGGTTATGGAGTAATCCGTTTTGAATTGCAGGGCACAAATATGTGAGGTTCAGGGAGAAGTAGTGTACAATATTAGTGATATAATATTTGCAAGACCAAGATCTCATGGAAGATAAGAAGTTAGGGAGCAGGGGAGTTTGAAAACTGTTTTATATAAATAAATAGGTATTTAAAAACCCATCAAAGATTTAGAATGGTTCTACTTTTTAACAATTACTGAAACACATTTTATCAAATAATCCTTTTGAATCAACATTACTTTTCTAAATTTTACATAACGCATTTCTGTATTGCCACCATCCTTCTACACCTTTAAGATGATTTCAGTCTTTTTTGAAGTTTTACAAAGTACATTCTGGCCTGAAATTTACATATTGCTCTTTCCTTGCATCCTCCCTTGGTTCATTTTTAAAAGTCATAGCAAACTAATCTTTTCACAGGTAATTTTGATAATTAAGTTACATTAGTAGTAAAATGTTTTTATGTTGAAATGGTGTGAATCATAAAGTTTTGGTGTTTTTTGTTTTTGGTTTTGTTTTTTTGTCTGCATATTCTTATAGCTTAATCCATAGTAAGTAGTACAAGGAACCCCTGATCAGGATTTCTAGGATTCTTAATAGGAACATTTTTTGACCCCTTTCCAGCATTTCTGGGTCAAATGCTCTAAGCATGGTACCCAGGTTATGGTAGTTTAGAAATCTGATCAGATTAGACATGCTTATTAATGTTTAATAATATGTGTTTTAAAGTCATGACTTTAAAATTTATACTATGTGAATATAAAAGGATAGTAAATCCTGCACTTGCTGGTAAGGGTTCACTAAATTAACACAAGCTAAAATACTAATGCACTTGTAACAATATGTTATTATTGCCTGTTATTAAAACCAGAACAGTCTAAACACTTAGTTTGATTGCACTTTTTAGATAATACTTAACCCATTTAAAAATATCTAGCTATCACTTGTTGAGAAGTATTATATGGTAAGTCATATGTTGAGTCTTGGCAGTAGAGATACACAGAAGAAAGAAAGAGAATCATTCCTTGTCTGAGAAAACTCAAAACTATGATGATAGATGATTGTATCATCCTTAGGATATTATCATCTACATAAGGAAAACTATGAATTGCCACATAATTTCCTCTTTAAGTAATAGTCATGTTTCCAAATTGTACTGTATTACCATAAATATACACTTGTTAGTGATTTCGTGTAGTAGGTCCTACTACACTTTGGAAAATGCCATTTGGAAGATGTGGAATCTTTCATTTTTCTGTGTGAAGACACTGTCCCATAGCTGAGATGGGAAGTGTTGTGTAGACATTACACATTTCTCTTGTTAATTGCTGATTTCTTACCAGTTTCCTTTCTGAGAAGAAGAGATGTGTGAGCACACTAGACATTAAGAAGACTCTTTGCCTCTTTCCAAGCTTCATTTGGCCTGTAAGAAATGCTAGATGGTGGTAGCCTTTCTAGTTAATATGTCAGATTCAATTGAAGGGCCTCAAGCTGCTCTCCTTTGGAGTGCTTTTCTCCACCCCTCCTGCAGTCTTAAAAGTTGAGCATGGACAGGCAAAAGAACATATGTGGCATATAAATTAATCAAGTAGATAGCAAGTCTGAAGAAGAGAATGAAGAGTTTGCTAGTTCATTGATCGTTGGCATTTTCTTAGGAAAGTTTTTGGGACACTCTCTCCCTTTATTATTTCCAGAGATATATGAAAGATATTTTGAGAATGTCAATATTTTTCTTTCTTTTCATGATCTTCAACATATATTTGTTGAGAATTTAGTCCCATGCCCTGTTCTATG